CAAAATGGCAGAATGGAAGGCCGAAAGGCACAGCCTGGGTCTGCATGCACTGAGAGCATAGCCACCAACGGCATTTTACTGTGTATGAAATCGTTAGTGTATGTTCTGAACATGCAGTTTAGTAGAATGGGATATATTTCCCAACCTGAAAAATGTATTTATTCTTTATTGTTAAAATGGTTTCTAGTTCACTACTCTTGGTCGCTGTCCTGGGAACCATTGATTTGTGTATTAATGTTCTTCCACTGTGTACTGCTTGGAATGATCATTTTATGTTCCTAAAACTCATGCGTTCCTCATGCTGCAAAGCACCAGTGACACCATGTGGTGGCAGAACAGAAATTATTTAAAATGGCATCACCATGTGACATTGTATACATCTACTAGTTGGTGCAAAGTGTTTGGCTCTTGTAAATTTCAAATTGATTTTTTTTTTAATCTCTGCTTTTTGTATTATTCTCCCCTTAGGACTTTACTGTATGCACTTAACTACCCAGCTCCTGCCTCCAGAAGTTCTAACAACAACTTGTTCAGCCTGTGAAGTGTGAGGAGACTACACACAATTACTCCCATCAGGGGTGCCAACTTGAATAAAATACTGGGAAGGGCAGGTAAGCCGTGCCCCGCATCATCAATCACATGACACGGTGCATGCTCAGCATTTGAATGGCAATGCCCATCAACTTGGGGGCCCGTAGCTCCCTCAAATATTTCAGGGGAGGGGGGGAGCTCCCTCAGCCCCTAGGAGTTGGCTCCTATGACACCCATGATAACAAACCAGTATGTTCATAATCTGTAGACTGTGAATGCCATCTGGCACCAAGTGCCCAATCCGTTCCCTATACTACACTGAAAGTTTATAAGCAAAAGGGTCTGTGGGGACTACCATTGGGCTAGGTGGTATGATGTAATGGAGAGATAGGGCAGGGGTGTGTGTGTGGCATCCTCTCAATATTTCCTTCAGCAATGCCTTGTGCAGTTTTCAAAATGAAGCCTGTCCGCTCCTTTAGAGCAGAAAGGAAACTCCTTGTTTTCAAAGATATTTCCATGCTATTGCTCTAGACATGGTGGAGTCTTGGCCAGGTCCTCAATAAAATAAAAGAAAGGAAATTTGCATGTGCTCAAAGGCATCTTCCATTGATGTTATACTATGTATTTCAGGACAAAATTCTTGCATGGAAGCAAAATATTCTACAATAATATGATTTTAAAAAATATATATATACAGAGGTTGCACTGGTAGGGATTGAGGCGAAATTCAGTTTGCATTGAAAGGTGAGCCTACCTGATTTGAACCAAATATGTGAGCCAAAATAGATTAATCTTTTGAAATTCTCAACTATCAGTTGAGCCAAGTACCGTAATATGCAATTCAGGAGACTTAACAACAGGAACAATGAGTTGATCCTAACCAGAGACCAGATGTGTCCTTCCTAATACAGAGTCAAAACTGAGTTCAACAGGAAGAATCCAGTAGTGAACCACCTCCTGATGAGTTACCAGTTCTTCAAATGGCACAAGAGAATACAGAATGTGGAATGAGCCAAATCCAAAACTTTGAATAACACACGAGTTCATGAAACACTGCACTGATATAAATACAGTTAGAAAGCATTGGTATGGACTCAGTCTTAGAAACTGATACTAGAACATATTAATGGAATACAGTGGGATCCCTCATTGCTGTTATTCCTTTTAATGTCGCTACACACACGATATAGTATGGATATTGCAGTTTCTAGTGATACTATCATCTGTGAGTATAATTTTCATTTTGCTATAACTCTCAACATTTGCAGTTATAATTTCTAGTAGTTTATGAGCTTAAGGGAAGAAATAAATATTTGAAATTGTAGAGATTTCCTTGGGAAAACATTCAAAACTAACGGAATATAAACACTGATTATAGTTTCCTCAGAGACATTCTCCCTATTGCTTTCCATAACAATTTACACAACTTTACAAATTTACACAAACTGCTTTTAATATTGTGTTTTAATGTTGCAACCCACCCTGGGACCTTAGGGTGGAGGGTGGGTAAATTAGAATAATTTCATCATCATCATCATCATCATCATCATCAACGGGGAGTGCCAACATGGTGCCCTTGAGATGGTGTTGTTGGACACTACCTCCTATCAGCCCCAGTCAGCATGGCTGATGGTCAGAGGTAATGGGAGTTGCAGTCCAACAAGCTCATTATTAAGGATTTGTAGAGGGGTGGCTGGAGTGGTGCATGGCAGAAGGCTGGGAGCCTGAAGGGCCCTGCCCTGCCTCTCTCCACCCGGCTTGGGACGGGGCCTGACAGGCTCCATAAAGCACTGCTGCTGCTCGACAGAGAGGGCTCATTTTTAAAAATTGTTTTTATTTTTTATCTATGTCATTTTAAATTGTAATTGATATTAATGTTGTATTTTTTAGTTTTAGATTTTATGATTTATGTGGAAATTGTTTTCCATTTGGTTGTATACCTTTTGATGTGTTTTGTTTATTGTTTATGACTTTTGTTACGTTGGTAATTATGTAAATCTTGTCATGTTGTAAGCCGCCTTGAGCATTGTTTTAACTATGGAAAGGTGGCATACAAATAAAATGATGACGATGATGATGATATGACAGCATCCAGGGGAGAAATTGCTGGAGCTGTGTGTAGAGAGAGACCATGGATTGTGTGGATTCTGATGCGCATGTCTGGAGTTTTGATAGTGGCCCTAGTGAAAGAGGTTACTTGAAAAGCATTTGAAAACCCTTTCATTGATTAGGTTACCTATGCCCTTCCTCCCTGCTCTGGTGAATGAAGAAGGATGTGATCATTGTGATTTTGGTACACACCCACCCAAAACATCACTGGACAGGTGCAGATACACTCCGTTTTGCTGAGGCCACCTATATCTGTTTTCAGATGAATACACTGCAGGGTAAGGCAGAATCACAATGAGCTTTTATTTTCAGAATGCAGAAGCACTTTTCAGGGACAAAAAGATATGAAGTAGATCTAGATTGTGTGTGTATAGTGTAGAAAAAAACACAAGTACTCAATCTCCATTCTAGAATAAAATGTTGTGTGAATACAGCCTATGTGTCTCATCCTTCTGCACGTGTTTCTATATGTACATATATGCAAAGACTTGCAGGAGGATAAGACAATTGCATAGGCACTTCACTACAGCCACTGTAGGCTTTTTAAGCAGAAGATGGAAGAATTGGAATGGTGATGTCCTAACTCAAACAACCACGAGAGGGAGTTTTAAGTCTCTTTCCAGAATTGCCGTTTTTATTTTATTTCTTTCCCCCCCCCCCGAATATTTTAACTGAATTTTCAATCATACATAAATACAGGAAGTGAGGAAAGCACAAAGAAATAAAATTAAAATTGCCACAGTGTGAAAAGAAAAGAAGACTACAATACAGTCCAGCAGGAACAGCAAGCTTTCATCCACTTCAAAGACTTTAATCAAAGCCTATTAAATAAAAAGAAAAGAAATGCCACAGCTTGTGTGTCCATCCATTATTATCCGTTTAGATTAAAAAAAATTAAAGACACTATTAAATGGAAGGGGGAAAATAATAGAATCCAAACATTTGCATGCATTGGGTGGGACCAAATGGCAATGTGCTTCCATATTTGTATCTGAAATAAAATAATACTACAAATCAAAGAAACAATCAACAGGGGTCACTGTTTGTAGTACCCAATTGGTTTTGGGGAGGGGAGGTGACAAAACTGATTTCCAATAAGTGCCCCCCCTTTATTTCCATTACAAGTCCTTGAGTCTATACTCTGAATAGTGACACCAGGGACCTAGAAGGTGCAGGGCTTGTCAGTCCAACCCCTGCACAGACTCATCAGGGCTGACCTTAAGGCAATTGAAACAATTGGGCCAAATTGGGCCCTGCGGGCCGCTTCTAAGGGGGGACCCACCCAGGGCAAACTAGATGGATTTTATTTATATCTATGAGATTTTGCAGACTTTGGCTGTGAACTAAGTAAAAAGGTAAAGGGACCCCTGACCATTAGGTCCTGTTGTGACCGACTCTGGGGTTGCATGCTCATCTCGCTCTATAGGCCAAGGGAGCCGGCGTTTGTCTGCAGACAGCTTCCGGGTCATGTGGCCAGAATGACTAAGCCGTTTCTGGTGAACCAGAGCAGCACACGGAAACGCCGTTTACCTTCCCGCAGGAGCAGTACCTATTTATCTACTTGCACTTTGACGTGCTTTCGAACTGCTAGGTTGGCAGGAGCAGGGACCAAGCAACGGGAGCTCACCCCGTCGCGGGGATTTGAACCACCGACCTTCTGATCAGCAAGTCCTAGGCTCTGTGGTTTAACCCACAGCGCCACCCGCGTCCCTTTTGGCTGTGAACTGGGGCCCTACAAAAAAAAAGAACCAACCTAAAGTTGGGCCCCACTTCTTCAAATTGGGCCCCCACTGGCTAGCCCTGAGTCTCATAGTTGCTGGGCCTGAGTTTCCCTGCCCTTGAATGAAGTCTTCGGTTTCCAATTTTGGGAGAGGGGAGACTGTGGCACTGGGGAGATGGCAGGCTGGTGAAGCTTCCTAGATTTAGAGGCCCAAGTCGCCCTGCCCTCGCATGAAGTATTGGGTTTGCAATTTTGGGAGAGGGGAGGTTGCCTGCTGGGGAGCGGGCAGGCTGGTGAGGCCCCCTAGATTTAGAGGCCCTAGGATTCAGCCTACTTAGCCTAGACATAAATCTGGCACTGGCTATATCCTGTACAGGAGCAGGGCCGTCTTAACCGTTGGCACTAGGGGTGCACGGCACCAGGGCGCCGGGCTCTCAGGGACATCAGGCTGAGAGTCTGGGGCCGAGTCCAGGGAAGAGCCGCCGACAGTTGAGCAGAGCAGAGCCCATCGGAGCGCCAAAGGCTCTTTTGCTGCAGGTGGCTCTTCCCTGGACTCCAATGCTCGCCTCTGAACTTGCGCCGAGCCGCAGCAGCAGGCTTGGCTCCGCTCGGCTGTTGGCTCGTCCCAGCTGCATGGCAGCTAACTGTTTTGGCGCCGTGCCCAGAGCGCCGTGTAACGTTGTGGTGGGATCTGCCGTGTGCTGACAGCACCGAAGGCAGCAACAAAACCCGATGAATAGGAGCACACGGATCCTGTCCGGAGATGTTGCCTCCGATGCCACTTGCATTCCCCATCGTTCTGCACTGGCACCCCACGTTGGACGGTGCTGGGAGCATGCGCCGACAGCGGAAAAGCCGGCAAAGGAACCCGCAGCTTGGCGCACGTAACAGGATGCATCGCAGTGCCCACAACGTTACATGGCGCTCCGGGTGCTGTGTGCGCAGCCGAAACAGTTAACCGCCATGCGGGGGGAGGCAGCGGGCAGACAGCGCAGTGACTGTGCGTCCTACCCAACATTCCCCCCCCCAGCATGGAACCCGCACCCCCCTTCGTACGCCCCTGTGTGTGGGGCGCTGGCACACCTTTTGGTTGGCACTGTGAGTCCCTGTGTCCCACAGCCGTTCTAAAGGTAAACAACTATTTCCTTAAAAAAGTCAACAACTTTGGGGTCCCCCCCTAAAAAAAGGTCGACAACTCTGGGCAACCTAGGGTTGCCGGGTGGATCTTTGCACCCTGGCGCCGCATATGCTTAAGATGGCCCTGTGAATGAGCTTAGTAGAAGGCAGTTCTCTCCTCTTGTTCTGCTTAGAGTGTCTCCTTCCTTCCTCTTTACAGACTGTAGTTTCAAGGATGGGACTGCGGCAATGACAAGAAGATCATCACCTCCATTTGGGTTGACTGTGTGCTATAAGACTGTTCTCCTCATACTGCAGGGTCTTCCATTTTACAGAGTGTACATTCAAGAAGAGGAGGGGAGGGAAAGTGCCCTGCTGCAGAAATTCCTTTCCTCTTCTTATATGGCATTTTTGAGGGACAGACAAGGATGGTGCCATCCTGTTTCGTCACCCGATATGAAATGGGAAGGTGCCGACCCAATTCCCTGGACCCAAGCCTCCCTTTTTACATATATAATAATTTTTATTTGATTTTACAAATATAGAATTATAACAATCCAAATTATATATCCCTATCTGGAGATTTCTCCAAATCTCTGGACTTCCCACCTTCCCTTCCATGGATCCTGTTGTCCACCTTCTCAGCTGCATATTATTTCATAGTCCATATTTTATATCTTTCCACATTATCCATAATATTCGCTACATTACAAGTGTTATTAAAATCCTGCTAAGGTTTTCATCTGCTTGCAGTGGTCTCCTAGATAAATTATCATTTTTTCCCCATTCTTCGTTGAAGTTTTGGTCTTCTTGGTTCCTGAACCTTCTGGTCAGTTTTGTCATTTCGTCATAGTCCAACAGCTTGGTTTGCCATTCCTCTCTGGTAGGGACTTTGTCTTCTTCCCATCTCTGGGCTAGTAGCATCTGCATTGCTGTTGTCACATACATGAAAAGTCTTTTCTGTTCCTTTGGAATGTCAGTACCTATAATTCTGAATAAAAGGCTTCTGGGTTTGTTTGTTTTTAAAAAAGTTATTTCAAACATTTTTTTCAATTCATCATGCTGTATTTTTTGCTCCATAAGACGCACCTGACCATAAGACGCACCTGACCATAAGACGCACCTAGATTATAAAGGAGAAAAACAAGGGGGGGAAAATTATGAACGAAACAGTGGATGTATGATTTTTGTGGTTCGTGCTGTGGCCACAGACATGATATGTGATCTGACGGTGAGTTTGGGGTAGCCCAATGCAAAAATCCTGAGGATCTATGTAGATCCATGCTTTGTAACCACGTTTTTGCGCCATTGCGGCCCCACGAAACAATGGATGCATGATTTTTTTGGTGCAGGCTGTAGCCATGGGCATGCTATGTGATCTGATGGAGAATTTGGGGTGACCCAATGCAAAAATCCTGAGGATCCATGTGCTTTTACCTCCCCCGCTCCCAGGCAGCCTCCTTTATTGCTAGCGTCCCTTATCTCCCTCCTGATAGCTTGCCTTTCAACACCCCCTTCCCTCTTGTTTGCCTTAACGTCTTTTCCTTAGCTGGAGCAGTTTTTTGTTCCTCCTTTTCTTCTAATTTCTCTCCTCATTGCTTGTTTTAGTATTCCTGTCTTCTCTCCTTGCAAGTTCATTGTCTTTACCTCCCCGCTCCCAGGCAGCCTCCTTTATTGCTAGCGCCCCTTATCTCCCTCCCAATCACTTGCTGATCAACTGCTCAGTGGCTTTGTTTCAACATCCCCTTCCCTCTTCCTAAAAAAACAAAACAAAAAAAACAACACGATCTGCTTTTTGCCCCTGGGCAATTTGGCTCCAGGGACCACGTATTCGCTTCATAAGACGCACAGACATTTCCCCTTACTTTTTAAGGAGGAAAAAAGTGTGTCTTATGGAACGAAAAATACGGTAAATTTTAAAGAGACTCACTGAAATGAAAGCACTTTGCTACAGATCAGTGACAGCTGGAGATAATCTCTTGTCAGTATCTGCTCTCAGTTTCTACCTTTTCTCTAATTAATAGAAAGGTATTGGATACCTCTTTATAAGATTGAAAAGGCAGCCTTTCTGGCTGTTACACAGTGGCGTAGCGTGGGGGGTGCAGGGGGGGCCAGCCGCACCGGGTGCAACATCGGGGGGGGGCGCTCGCTCGCACTCGCAGCTCTCTGCCCCTACTAAAATCCACGGGTTAGGGGGCGCAAATTACTTGCCTTGCCCCGGGTGCTGACAACCCACGCTACGCCACTGCTGTTACAGAAGAAAGAAATGCTGAGATACCCCAATATTGCATTAGGCCCAGTAAACTTCCTTCCATTCTGATTATTAGGGAGCATCATTTTCCTGATATTTTAAAACTGTGGTAGCCAATTAAAAAGAAAAGTGGCTTGTGACATTTTCTTAGTATTCCTCTTAATGGAACTTGTTAGGTAACATTGTTGGCACAAGAATGTAAGAGGTACAAGATGCAATGACATTAGGACAGTGTAATTTAATTGCTGCCAGATTAATTACGCTGTCATAATGTCATTGCATCTTCCCATCTACCCAAATAATAATAGGAAACTTGGGAAGATGTCATTTTGGAAGTGAAATGGAGCTACCCCAGAACAAGACAGTGAACTCCTTAGGTATGCAGGAGTATATATTTAGAAACACATTTATAAATTAAAAGAAAAGGGGCAGGATCAAATGTTCTGACATAAACCTGTTTGCTTATAGGATGTATCGAATACCAAAATGCTGATGGGGTGGGGAGGAAAGGGAACTGGTAGGAGGAGGAGACAGAATTTGCCTGCTCAAGTCTCTAACTATGCCTGGGAGATTAGAATGGGGTGGGTGTATGCTGCAAGGTTAAAGAAAACCTCCCTGCCCTGCCCTGCACAGGGATGCTTTAGGTAAAAGGAAAGGAAGAAAAAACCTGCTTTTCTATTCCTCTATTCTCAGGTGGGGGTGGGGGAAGAGATTGGGACATGACCCAAAATTTCTATAGCCACCCATCAATAAATATTTCCTCATGGCTTATACCAACTATAATTTAAAAAATAAAATATATGATAATTAAAATAAACAATAAACAATGAAAGACAGGAAAAAAGTTTGCAACAGAGATAGTATAAAACTATTTGCAGCCTGAGTTAAAAATGTGGGTGAATGAAAAAGTATTAACAGGGTGCTGAAAAAGCTATAAAAAAGCACATTAGAGGAAGGATGCGTCTTGACATTGTTCCTCTATAAATGGAAGCAAACCCAACAATCCATTCTCTGCATTCATTTTTGTTTACTTGCCATGTGATGGCACTGTTTACTCAAAAACGAAAAGCCCAATTGTTAATTTATTTTGAAAGATTATGATGAATACACATTATGTTCTTTGAAGAGGTATGACCTTTCCTCTGAGCATTTGATGTTTCAGTGATCACAATAAAAATAGCTTTACTATGTTTATTTCACTGATAACTCTGATTTATAAACATCCATCTCCTGGTTATCTTGAGATGTAATATGCATAGCAGGCAATGAGGCCTTCAGAGCTTGGTGATTTACATACATACACACATCTAAAAAAGGCAACCATGCCGTGCTGAGTTCACAATTGCTAACAATAGTCGCAACCCGTTTTGACAAGTGCTTTCTTCTCTATTTAACTGCACAGGCACCCTCTGTTGCACGCTGAAACCCTTTGCTGGAAAAGGTGAACTATATTTGGGTTCTTAAAGAATGACATAACGTAATAAAGAGGCAGGGGCTGTCAACTCAGGCTGTGTTTCTTTATGTTCCCAAAGTGCTGCTATTATATAATCAGTAACTTCCATAACATAGCAGGTTTACATACATTTTGAAAATAAATTGAGATCCCTTTCTCCATGCATAGCTTTTTCTTTATGATGGCTGCCAGGGCGTTGCAGCCCCTTGCTCTCTAGGTGGCAATTCAGCCACCAGAAGGAAATCAAGGAGAGAGGATGTTCTTAAATGCAATCTGCAGCGATTCCAGAAACATATTCTGGGCTTTACATAATGTCCCTCATTATATGGGGGCAACGCGTTCCTATTTTAATCTAGCCAAATTGTGTTTGGTTTTTAAGCTGCCCACAATATATGCAGAACGTTCTGGTTTTCTTTTTGGGTTGAGCAATCTGTACAAACAATATCTCACTCTCTCACTGCACCGCAGTCATCTCTACAGCAAACAATTCATTTAGCCCATGTATAACCCTGCAGCAAATATCCGCAGCACAAACTGTATTAAAAGATTGCATTAATAACGATTAAGTGTTGCGGAACCGTGACCTTCATGCGATGAGAGGTGAAAAATGCCGTGTGAATTTCCCTGTTTAGGAAGAGCACAGACACATCTGAAAACATTTTTCCTAGGTGCTTAATAGTATGAGCCAAGCAGCTGACCGATCTGAACAATATTTCTGTGCCTGCATATGCATTGTTTTATGACTGTCCTTTGAATTACGTTGACGCCTATAGCTTGTTTGGTTACTTGTTGTTGGCATCTGTCTGTCTCAGGAGACAAATGGAGGAGTGCACCTTTGGGGGTGAAGTCAAACTGCTGGAAGGTTGCAGCACCTGCTGCGGCAGTAGAGACCAATATGGGAGAGACATGTTTTGTTGCAGCCAGGGCAGATGAAGGCATCCGGTTGTGCTGCTGCAAGTGCACTATGGCATTTCTTCTATCTGCAGTCCTCCCAGTGGTCATTTTTTCCTCTGGTCACTGATATATGACTTGACTGCCTGACTCCAGGCACTGTGGTTATCTGCAAGTGATTCCCACA